TTGTTGAAGGCTTATGCCTTGTGGTCGCATAATTTATGTTGTTGCATGTCGATGTTGCATGCATTTCATTGGTGAGGGCTTACACCCTGTTGTTGGCCTTTAATGGCATTATGTTGAGGGATAATGCACTGTTTTTTCCCAAGTGGCACTATGTTGGGGGATTATGCCCTGATGGTACCACATGCATTGAGTTGATATCGGTCTTATTGCATTGCATTGCATTATTATTGAATTAATGTTGTAGGACGTGAATGATGGATTGCATTGCGAAGTGTTATATGATATATGAATTACTACTCCTTAGCATGTGATATTCACCGCATATTTATTGAATGTAATTCTCACCCCTTTTGTGTTGTTGTGTTTCTGCTCTCCAGGAGTACAAATAATCAGGTACCCGAGTAGTGCTTGAAGATAGTGTTACCTTATCAAGTCTTAAGAGTCGCTCTGATACGTAACACGAGATTTTGGGAACTTGTTATGTTTTCTGTTATTTTAATTGTTACGTGTCATACTTTTACACTTATGATGGACCACATGTTGGTGGAGTTTTTATTATTATTGAGGCTTTATGCCATGGAAGAGAATTAATTTGATTACTCTGTTGCGAATAAATTATTATGAGTAAATGGAGTAATAAAGTGATTTGAGACTTTATGAAATATTTAAATTATGTGACATCCCATGCATAGACTATGATATATATATATATATATATATATATATATATATATATATATATATATATATATATATATATATATATATATATATATATATATATATATATATATATATATATATCATGTTTATTGATATAATTATTTTTATGGGAAAGTGGGATGTTACACTAAGTGTTGGACAACTGGTCGAAAAAGGTTTCTCCGTGGTAATGAAAGATGGAGCTTTGGAACTGTTCGAAACTCAGAATAACTTGGTCTTGAAATCTCCTTTGTCGAAGAACATGACATTTAAGACATTGATCAGTTCGACTAAGGTACAATGTCTGAAAATAGTTATCGACCACGAGAATAGTTGGCGGTGGCATTTGAGGTTTGGTCATTTGAACTTTTGATCACTCTTGAGATGCCTGACAAACTCTCTGAAGGTTGTCTAGTCAGAAAGAAATCCATAAAGTATTTTATTTCGACTATGCCAATGAGATCCTCCCACATACTTGATGTTGTATATTAAGATATATGTGGCCCGTTCGAAGAACATACTATTGGCGGAAACAGGTATTTCATCTCATTTGTCGACGAGTACAATTAAAAACTCTGGATCTATGTGATCAAGCAAAAGGACGAAGTATTCAAAATCTTTAAGAGATTCAAGATACTTATCCAAAACCAGAGTGAAAAGAAGGTCAAAGTTCTGCGAATAGATGGAGGTGGTGAATACACGTCCAAGATGTTTGAAGAGTTCTATGCAGAACATGGTAGCGATCATGAGGTAACTGCGTCTTATACGCCTCAACATAATGGAATTGCAAAAAAAAAAAGAAATATGAACATATTGGATAAGTCAATATGCATGCTGAAGCAATTTTTTTTGCCAAATCCTTATGGGGTGAAGTTGTTTCCACTGCTGTTTATATTTTAAACAGGCGCCCTACCAAGAAATTGAAGAACAAGGTTCTTGATGAAGTGTGGAGTGGAAGACGATCTTTAATGAGTCATTTGAAAGTGTTTGGCTCTATATCTTACAAGTATGTTCCTGATGCAAGAAGAAGGAAGCTTGATGACAAGAGTGAACCTATGATTCTGGTAGGATATCATAAAAGTGGAGTATAAATGATATTCAATCTAATCAATGATAAAGTTATGATAAGTTAAGACATTGTGATTGATAAGAATTCTGCATGAGATTGGAATTCTAATGATGCAATTAACAAGCCATCAATGAATCATGAATTCAACGAAGAAACTGATGAAGTCGAAGTTGAAGAAATTACTGATATTCCAGTCGAAGTCGAAGTAGTTGCTGACATTTCTGACACAATCGAAGTCTAAGAGGGTGTGTCTAGCACAAGCCAAAGGCCTAAGAAAACTAGAGTTCATCCAATAAGACTTCATGACTATGAAGTGACTGGTGATGATGAAGTAACAGCAGATGGAAAATTAGTTCATTTTTCTTTGCTTGCAGGTGTTAGACCAATCAAATATAGAAAGGCTTTAAAGAACTAACAATGGAATTCATCTATGGTCGAAGAGTTACAAGAAATCGAAAGAAATAACACATGAGAGTTGATCGAATTTCTAGCGCACACAAAAGCTGTCAAAGTAAAGAGGGTGTTCAATTTGAAACACAATGTTGATGGGTTAATAGCAAGATATAAGGCGATATTGGTAGCTCGGGGATTTCTTCAGAGAGAAGGACTCGACTACTCTGAAGTATTTGTTCCAGTAGCAAGATTGGAGACTATTCGACTAGTGGTAGCATTGGCATGCAAGCAAAGCTGGTCAATATTTCCCTTAGATGTAAAGACATATTTTTGAATGGACCCTTAGAGGAAGAGGTCTATGTCACATAACCTACTTTGTTTGTAATTCAGAAGGAAGTAAGCAAGGTGTATAAGTTACACAAATCACTCTATGGCCTCAAACAGACAATTAGGATACGAAATAAGAAAATTGACTCATACTTAGTCGAATGGAGAATCGCCAAATGCAAAACTGAGTATGGTGTCTATGTTTAGGTTGTGGCATAAAATATAATAATCATTTGCTTACATGTCAATGACTTGATGGTAACTGGAAATAGCTTGGAGAACTTGTCAAAGTTTAAAGAGCTGGCGATGAGGGGATTTGAAATGTTGGATCTAGAAAAGTTATCTTATTTCCTAGACATGTAATTTCAAATATCGAAGCAAGGAATGGTTCTATATCAAAGGATGTATGTCAAATAGATACTCAAGAGATTCAAGATAGATGATTTGACTCTGACATCTTTTCCTGTCGAAGCAAATTTGAAGTTGGAGAAACATGGAGAGAAAGATAAAGTCGATGTAACTTTGTTTAAACAAATAGTTGGGTCTCTGAGATATGTGTGCAACAGTCGATTTAATATAAGTTTCGAAGTTGGATTAGTGAGTAGATACATGAGTGAATCAAGGGTGTCACACATGAAGGCTGCAAGAAGAATCCAAAGATACTTAAAAGGATCAATAAACTGGGGAATTCTGTTTCGAAAAGATTATAAAGGAAAAGAAGATACAGTTACTTGCTATTGAGATGCTGATTGGTGTGGAGATAAGAAAGATCGAAGAAGCACAACTGGTTATTTCTTTCAAGTCTTTGATGCCCCAATCTCACAGTGCTCGAAAATGCAACTTGTGATGGCATTGTCATCGTGTGAGGCTAAATATATAGCAGGATCCTATGATGCGTGTCAATTAATTTGAGCCAGATTTGTGCTTGAAGAAATGGAAGTCGAAGTGAAAAAATCTCTGGTGTTGCAGATCGATAACAAGTGAGACATAAATCTTGCAAAAAATCAAGTTCTGCATGGAAAGAGTAACCATATACAAGCTAGATTTTACTTCTTAAGTGAGAAGGTAAATAAGGCGAACTTGAAGTAAGACATTGCTCAAGTGAAGCATAGTTGACCGACATTTTCACTAAAGGATTGAAGATCGACAAATTCTTGAATTTAGATCGACTATGATTAGCGTAGGTCTGACAACTTGGATTATATGGAGGGTATGTTGAGATATAAGATATAATCCAATTCACGTACTAACATAAACAACACTTTGGGGCAAACTCATTATGGATCAATGTACTCTAGGTAAATATGATCGAAATAATGGTAATCTCAATAGTGTTTTTGCAATAAATAAAAACCTTGATACTGATTTATAGAAGATGCTTGTGGATGTTTGGCCATCACTCTACCAACTAGCTTATTGGAAAATTGACAATGGTAACAATGTTAATGAGTGGAGCAACAATTGGATTGATTTTATAGATATTATTATTGTTTTAAATTGCACTCCACAACTGCAATTGTAGCTCTAATATTGCCGACGCGGTAGTCTCTGCAACCACATCAGATCAAAATTACAGAGTGGTTTGAGATCAGATGTCTTTTTTCACATTAGGAACCACATCAGACAGTTTCGCCTAAGTTTCTTCAAGTAATTTTCTCATAACTCAAAATTTAGAATCACAACTCAATTGATTTCTGAAAAATCTTAACATAGATATTTTAACAGTGTATTTCAAACTTTTCTCAATTAAAATTTACAGTGCAACAACCACAATGTGCATCACAACAACTACAATGACTGTAATCGCAACACCAGCAACTATAACCACAATTAAGCATAGAAACTTGGTGTAACAGATCATTAAATGGTTAGAGATGAATTGATAGATAAAGGTTTGCCACTCGGCTCATGAAGCAAATAAATGTGCAAATGCACTAGTTTCAAGTTGTACTCATATTCAGCATCTTTATTTGACAGATTTAGTAAGAACTACAACTTCTCGAATAATCTCTATATAATTTTTCTTAGACTTTGATCTTCCTTATTTCACATCACAGTAAAATAAAAAGTTGATTTGATCTATAACAATTGATTCTCCATTGCTTGTATTTTTGCCAAAAAATAGATAGTAGGTTCCAAAAGTTAACAAAGTGATATAATATATTGTCAAAAGAGAAAAAGCAATATAATAATTTAGTGAGAATAAAGCTTGTTTAGCTCAGCCTTTCCCCCCTATGAGACTCATATACATGCCTCTCATTTCCCACACACATGGGATGGTCCCTTTTAAGCATTGTTTCGTACCAAACTCAATGATCCAACGGCTGAAATTAAAGTTGCATGAAAAACGAGTAATATCTTGTCCCTACACTTATTATAATACTATACTCCTTAATCATTATTCTATCATTATATATCATCATTATAGTTCTTCTTTGGGAAATCAAAACATCACAAGTCACAACACAAACACAAAACTTTATTCAAGCTAGATCAGTTCTGTTTTCCAATGGAAGATTCATGGGAAAATTTCAATCTTCACATGGTAAAGTTATTATTATTCATATCATAGAAAGAATAATGATTTCATTTATTTGTCACGCTTTTTTGATGAAAAATAATTTAACTCATGCAGGAATTGGATTGTGGTGATGATTACTTGATAGACAACTTGGACTTGGACACCATTAACATTGACGGTGATGATTTTCTTAGAGAGATTCTGTTAGAAACACCACAAAGTTTAATCTATAATGAAACTGAAAATAACTCGGATATCGTTGACATTAACGACGGCGTAGAGGTTGTTAATAACAGTTCTGGTTCAACAATAGTACTGTCTGAACAACAAAAACAAGAACAAGAACAATCGAAAAATGTTTCTGGTCGACGTTATTTACCAAAGACATTCATTTTGTCTTTTGATAACTCAACTATAATACCTGCTACACCTCAACCAGCATGTGTCAATTTGGATGCTAAACGTGGTTCTAAGAAGAAACGGAACCGCGAAAGTAGTGAAAAGAGTGAAATGATGAAAAGAAATGAAGAAAAAGTAGTCAAGAGAAGTAGAAGCAGTTCTCAGTGCAATGATCATATAATAGCAGAGAGAAAACGGAGACAAGAGTTGACGGAGAGATTCATCGCACTTTCAGCAACCATTCCTGGTTTGAGCAAGGTAAGTAAATTGCTTAATACACCATACTTTATTAATATAAAAATTATTAGTACATGATTTTGAGAGCGGTGACAAGGAAGCGTGATAATAATAATATTTATAAATGAATCATTGAGTCAGAATGAGCGAGATAAAGGTGCATGGTACTTTAAAATCACAAGTGCACAAAACAAAAATAGTAAAAGTGTTCTGGAATTAAATATTCCTTGTTATAGACAGATAAAGCTTCAATACTTCGAGCAGCGATTGATTACGTGAAGCATCTTCAAGAACGTGTTGATGACCTAGAGAAACAAGACAAAAACGTTGGTGTCACGTCAATGATGGTCCTCAACAAACCTAATCTATGTGGAATTATTAACAATAATCAAGACAAAAAATTTGGTCAAACAAAGAGTGATGCTGATGATGATGATGATTTTAACAATAATATCTTCCCAGAGATTGAAGCAAGAGTTATGGGAAAGGAAGTGCTTATTGAAATTCATTGCGAGAAACAAATTGGAATTGACCTTAAAGTGCTAAAACACATTGAAAATCTTCAACTTTTTGTTATTGGTAGCAGTGTCTTGCCATTTGGAAAATCAGATCTTTCCATTACTATTATTGCTCAGGTAAATTAACCACTTATTTAACTCTTATTTAAAATTGAATTAGCAAAGAAAATATAATATGAAATTTGTATAATGATTTTATTACTTATTTATATTGCAGATGGGCGAAGGATACAAAGTGACAATGGATGATCTTGTTATAAGCCTTAGGCGAGTGATTCTGAAACCTGAAATGGGATGTGAAAGTGATCTATTCTAGTGTATCGATTGTTGAGTTAAAACAAAAACAATTGTTGTTTTGTGTGGAATTGCAAGGTTTCTATTTCCTTATAATAAGTTGGCGAGTGGTATGATTCTCCTTAATTAAGTGTTGGATTTGAATTTAGTAAATATAAAAAAATATTGTTGGAGGAGTTTTGTTCCCTTATCTATTAGACTCTTTTTATGCAATAGAGAAGATATTAGAAAGTGTTAGAAATAATTTATATTTTAAGAATATCTAAGAATATCTTTTTATATCTTTTTATATATTTACTAGAGGATATTTAAGTATTTTATTATATCTTATTTTTGTGTATAAATAGCTTAGTGAGGTTGGTCAATGTAATTTCATTGTAAATCATTATTCCTTATTTTTAGCTGTCATTAAATATATTCCTTTTGCTTTTCATCTCTCATTTGTGCACCAACATTTGGTATCTAGAGCTCCGGTTAGAAATCCACGGAAAAACACGGGAAACACGAGAGAACAGTGAGGTGCGGTGTGATTGATAATCGTTGTTTCTGATTCTGGGGATTTGGGAAACACTGCTTTATTGAGTTTCTGCGTAAATTGCACAAGGTAGAAGATGAACGGAAAGAACGAAGATATTCATTCCAAGCTTCCAGTATTTGATGGCAAAAACTGAAATCGTTGGAAGATCCAGATGTTGTGTTGTTTGGCTCTCAAGATGTGTTAGATCTTGTCACCGATGGCTATGATCTGTTAGAAGCAGACACAACAGAGGCACAAAAGATAACACAACAGAAGGCGCTAAGGAAGACAGATCAGAAGGCGCTAAGGAAGACAGATCAGAAGATGTTGTTCTACATCCATCAATGTGTGGATGCGAATGTGTTTGAGAAGATTGCTGATTCTGAAACAACAAAGGCTGCGTGGGACACACTTGTCAGATGTTACGGTGGTGACGCATTAGTGAAGAAGGTGAAACTTTAATCTCTCAGAAAGAAATATGAGAATCTCAACATGAAAGACAACGAGAAGGTTTCTGAGTACATGTCTAGAGTGATTCTGATCACTAATGAGATGAAATCTTGTGGATAAACCCTTTGTTGACAAGTAATCATTGAGAAGATCTTGAGATCTTTAACTTCTCAGTTTGATTACATTGTGGTAGCAATTGAACATTCTAAATATCTGAGCACCATGAGAGTTGAAGAGCTGCAAATTAGTCTAGAGGCGCATGAGTTGCGTATGACTGCGAGAACTTCTGAGAGGGAAGTCAAGCAAAAGGCTCTGAAAATAACTTCTGGTAAGAAGTATCAGAAGCAGACTTGGTCAGAAGCCAGAAAGAAAACTAATGGTGGTCAAAGGTCAGAAGCTTCAAACTCTGACAGGCAGAAGAATGTCCAGAAGGGAAAGGAGAAGTCTGACAAGAAGAATGTCTAGTGTTACTGTTGCAAGAACTTTGATCATTATGCCAAAGATTGTTGGTCAAACAAAGAAAGGAAGTCAGAAGAAGTGAATATAGCCAAATGAGAGTTTGATGATGAAACGGTGTTATTGTTGGCTTCTGAACCTAATGATCTGAATTCATCAGAATGGTGGTATATGGACACAGGGTGTTCAAACCATCTTACTGGAAACAAGAAATGGTTAGTTGATTTTGACTCTGGGAAGAGTATAAAAATCAGATGTGCTGATGATAAATACCTAAATGTAGAAGGTATGAGAAATGACAGAGTCATTCTAAACAATGGGAAAGTAGCATTGATCCAGAATGTATGGTATGTACCTGGCATGAAAAGTAATTTGATGAGTGTAGGACAACTGATTGAGAAAGGTTTTTCAGTTACCATGAAGGACAATCTTATGAAGCTGTATGACTGTAATAAGAAGTTGATTATGGAGTCAGAACAAGGAAGGAACAGAACATTCAAGGTGAATGTTAGAACTGCAAACTCTGAATGCCTTAGTGCAACAAGTGTTATCAAGGAAAGTGAGCTGTGGCACGGATGATTTGGTCATCTGAATTTCATAAGTTTAGGGCATCTAAAATCAAAGAAGCTGGTACATGGAATTCCTACAATCAAGAAGTCTGAGAAGTCATGCAAGGCGTGCATGGAATGGAAGCAACCAAGATTACCATTTGCATTAGAAGTAGCACCAAGAGAAAATCATGCCTTAGGAGTAGTGCATTATGATGTGTGCAGTCCATTTCCAGTAGCATCAATTGGATGGAATAAATATTTTGTGTCATTTGTTGATTAGTTCACCAGAATGACATGGGTATCTCTCATAAAGTTCAAACACGAGGTTTTTGCTGAATTCAAGAAGTTTAGACTGAAGGTTGAGAATCAGAGTGGCCAAACTCTAAAGATTCTCAGAACTAATGGTGGTGGTGAGTATAACTCCACAGAATTCAAAGCGTTTTGTGAGGAGAATGGAATTGAGCATAAGGTTAATACTCCATATACTCCTCAACACAATGGTCTTGCTGAAATAAGAAACCGTACTTTGCTTGATATGGTGAGAAGCATTCTAAAAAAGAAGAAGCTTCCTCATAATCTGTGGGGAGAAGCTATTGCCACTGCATGTTATGTGCTCAACAGATGTCCAACGAAGAAATTGAAGGAAATAGTTCCTATTCAGAAGTGGACTGGAGATAAGCAAAGTGTTAGTCATTTGAAGGTGTTTGGTTCTGTATGTTACAAACATGTCCCAGAAGCTAGAAGACAGAAGCTGGATGATAGAAGTAAAGTAATGTTACTGGTGGGGTACCACAGTACAAGTTCATACAAACTTTATTGTCCAGAAACTAATAAAGTTGAGTTCGGTAGAGACGTCATTGTAAAGGAATCAGAAGTTTAGAATTGGGAAAGGTCTCGTCCTGACTTTGATGAGAGAACTCCTGAAGAAAAGTCAAAAACACATGTTTCTGAAGCTGGTAAAGACTCTGACTCTGAAGAAGATACTGAAGGAGAAGATGATTCTGACTCTGACTCTGATGGTGATCCAGAATATGAAGACAGACAAGGTTATGGAGAAAGTCTAATTTCTGAAGAAAGCACTTCTAAAGGGGAAAGTTATGGTGTCCAAGATCCTGAAGTTCCAGTTCAGAGACAACAAAGAGTCAGAAGCATCCCAAAAAGATTTGCATAGTTTGACATGTTGCAAGACACTAAAGTAGACTCTGAAGTAGAAGTTATTCAATGTGTAATGTTAGTGGACTCTGAACTCGTGAGTACGGAAGAGGCTCATAAGGAGCAAGTCTGGTTGCAGGCCATGAAAGAAGAACTTGATTCTATAGAGAGAAACAAGACTTGGAAGCTGACAGAACTTCCAAAAGGCAAGAAAGCCATCAGCGTCAGATGGGTTTTCAAGCAGAAGCTAAAGCCAGATAGATCAATTGGAAAACACAAAGCAATATTAGTAGCAAGAGGCTTTCTATAGAAGCCTGGGCTGGATTACTCTTAAGTGTTTGCAGCTGTAGTGAGACATGAAATAATTAGACTAGTGATTGCAATAACTGCTAACAGGAATTTGCCTCTGATGCATTTAGATGTAAAATCTGCATTTCTGAATGGTCTATTACAAGAAGAGGTATACGTGTGACAACCTCCTAGATTTGAGAAAAATAATCAGGAAGGGATGGTGTTCAGATTACACAAATCCTTGTATGGATTAAAGCAAGCGCCCAGAGCCTGGAATCTGAAGATTGATTCGTTTTTTAAGGAACAAGGGTTTCAGAAGTGTGAGATGGAGTATGGTGTTTATGTTCACCATACTTCAGAAGGTAATATGTTTCTGGTATGTTTGTATGTTGATGACATATTGCTAACAGGAAGTTTGGAACAAGAAATAGATGAGTTCAAGAAGGTTCAGATGAATGCGTTTGAGATGATAGATCTTGGGAAATGAGTTTCTTTCTAGGAATGAAGTTTATGTATTCTGAGAAAGAAATCATTTTGCATCAGATAAAGTATGAACTTGAGCTTCTGAAGATATTTAAGCTAGAAAATTGCAAATTTTCTATCACATCTGCTGATACGAATCAAAAGTTGGACTCTGATTCTGATGGAGAGGATGTGGATGCTACAACCTTCAAACAGTTGGTTGGTTCTATGAGGTATTTGTGTAATACTAGACCTGATGTTTGCTATGCAGTTGAAAAGGTTAGCATATTTATGAGTAAACTAAAGTGGTCTCATTACCAAACTGCTGTTAGGATTCTGAGGTATGTGAAGAGAACTCTGAAGTATGGAGTGTTATTTCTGTCTGGAAGAAAGACCGAATCAAAACTTATGAGTTATTCAGACTCTGATTGGTGTGGAGATAGAGTTGACATAAGAAGTACTTCTGGATACTTATTCAAATTTCTGGGAGGTCCTATTTCTTGGTGTTCCAAGAAACAACCTGTTGTTGCGCTGTCAACCTGTGAAGCTGAATATATTGCAGGCGCTCTGATTGCATGCCAAGTTGTTGCATGGGAGAAATGAGACCAAGTATCACTTTCTGAGGATCAATCTTTCCAAGAACCCATTGTTGCATGGGAGAAATGAGACCAAGTATCACTTTCTGAGGAATCCGGTTCAAAATGGAATATTAGAAGTTGTGCACTGTAGCACCCAGAAGCAGTTGGCAGATGTTCTAACAAAGGCTATCAAGACGGATCAATTTCCTAGGTTAAAGGGATGAAATTGGTGTTGTCAGTTTTGGATAAATATAAATTAAGGGATGGTGTTAGAAATAATTCATATTTTAGGAATATCTAGGAATATATTTTTATATCTTTTCATATCTTTGTTAAAGGATATTTAGGTATTTTATTATACCCTATTTTTGTGTATAAATAGCTTAGTGAGGTAGGTCAATGTAATTTCATTGTAAATCATTATTCCTTATTTTTAGCCGTCATTAAATATATTCCTTTTGCCTTTCATCTCTCCTTTGTGTACCAAAAGAAAGAAGAAATATTTTGAAGATGCAACTTTTATTTGAAATCAATTGAATGAATTATATTCTGGAACCATAATTTT